AACTTGCATTTTACCAACATCCTTTTATATTCAGTCAAACATCATCTAAATTCTGATCATAAAGATAGAATTTCTGAATTATTATTATTACAGAGTCTATTATATATTCCATTCTTTAATAAATGCACAGCACTACACATCATGTTTGCGATATAACTTAAGAAACCAATAGTTAAACAAAAATAGGCAATGCCATTGTTAGAACCGAGCATTGTTCATGAATAAATTAAAAGAAGTGTATTAAATTCATCTCAAATATCACGTCAATTGTTGAAATGAAATTAATTTGAGCCATGGTGAAGCAGCAGCTTGGTTATATTTATGCAACTGATATTTTAATATGTGAAGTCAGGATTAGGAGGCTGGGAGGCTGGAGCTGTCAATGTTTCTTAATTCAAAGTTCATTAAGAAACAGTGACCGGAATAGAGGCTCCGTCAATGAAGTCGTTACATTCACAGCAGAACAATGGAATTTATTGATCAGAGTAATGTATTATGCAAACTGGGATGTTTATAGACAACTGGCTCACAATAGACAGAACGTTTGTTTTATAACTCATTAAATCTATTTCAATAACAAACCTTCTATCTAATTTCTTGAACAAGCGATTATAAACAGAAAAAAGTAACCAACTATAAAACACTCATTAATTTTATTTTATTTTATTTTTTTTATTTTATTTAGGCACACAACACATGCACCGATGATTGTCTATAGCGAATATTATCACCGTCCTACTTTGTAGGTGACAATCCCTTTTACAAGACAAACATACACATATGATGCTTTACACAAACTAAATCTCAATGTTTAGGTAGTGGAGTTGTTTGGTTGTGAGAAAAAATCCTGCAACACTGACAGGAATTGAACCCATGACCCTGGGATTGGAAGGCAAGCATCTTAACCACTAAGCTCTTCAACTCCACTCCAATATAATACAAAAGTTTATAATATTAAGTTATATAAATTAACAATACAATAATTAAAGAAACAATAAAAGGTTTTACAATAAAACAAGTTCAAAAGATATTGATAAGAATAGTAACATTTTTTTATTTTTAAAGTCAGTACTAAGTTTCAAACAACAGCCATACAAACAAAATTCATTGTCAATTTTAATTCATCAGTTTGCCAATAATTGGTAAGTATGAAATGAATATGAATAAACTTGTTTTCTATGACAAAAATATCTGGAATTTGATGATGCCATTTGACACCAATATATAGCATAAGTATGTCATACCATAACCATATATGGTCAAATCACACAAAGACTTGATATGTGAACAGAGTATTATTACAGGCGTGACTGATGGCCCTCTTGCGTTAATTCTCATAAGCAAAATTAACATTTAAAATGCTGGCAACCTATTCAGTACTGTACTCAGTTGTCCGCTCGGGGGTAATATCCATACAAATTTTTGCTGTTTTATAATCTCTATTACATATAATATAAATTAGACTGGTACAAAATGTCCAGTGAAGTATCTTTTAAAATAAAGAGGAAATAATTCAGCCTTCTCCCATGGTGCTAACCACTGTGTGTGTGTGCTTAACCAAGAGGATGAGTTTCAAGATGTTGGTGCTTGGTTCAATCTTATCTCTGTGTTCCTTTTAATTGGAGGCTGGAATGCAAATTTATACTTGCACAACATTTTTCAGTTAAAATGTTTTAAGTCATCGGTTCTGTGTGTAATATGCCCTAAGTGCATATTAAAAATCATACTCTTCAAAAAGACAATGAAATTTTATGCTAAATTCACCTTCACATGGATTCCACTATCCTTGGTGTGTTATATAATCTGATTCAAATGCTAACAAACCCTTGACTGGTTGATGATTGGGCAGTGCATAAAATTCAAGATGATCCTGTTTTTGTTCTTTGCATTCACTATTGCCACACTGCATCTACGACTTCTAGTATATAAAATACTGTAATTCCGTGCTAAAACTTGTCACAAACCTTGAAGTTAAACAAAAAAAATCCATAGCTCACAGTGTCATTGCGAATTGCATACGGGCTTGGTCCGTGATTACTCTAGAAGCGGCCTGTGGCTCTCAGTAGCATCATTCCACAACTAGATCTAAGAACTATATGTTTGTTGGTCGAGTTTTTTTCAATGACATCACCAAATTCTTTAAATCCTTTTCCAGAAAAAAAATCAAGCTCAAATATGTTTCTTTAAAAAGGTTGAAAAAAACCACTGGGTCATATCCCACGTGTTAGCATAATCCATGAAAATACACACAAGTCAGCTGCCTAAGTGTAGCTCATAATGCATTCAACACGAATCAGCTGTCCAATTACTGCACATAAAAAATATTTGCATACTGTTGTATAACTTGTTAAGTGTAAAAAAAAATATTTGTGAGGAAGTTTTCAGCTAAAATATTTTGATCCATGTCTTCAATTTCCATCAAAATCCTTCGTCCTAATCACGCAAATGTACGTATAAGCCATGCACGTGAATATGACTCAGCTGCCTAAATGTCACTCATAGTGCAGGGTTTGCATATTAAAGTATTTTTTACCTTGTGTTGTTAGTATTGTTGGGAGGATTTTAGCATGGATAATATTATTCCTTGGTAGCTTCAAATCATTAGTTAAAATCTGCACAATCCATTCATGACAAAAATTAATACGCGTCAGCTCACAATACCATATCAGAGTACTTCAGGCATTGTAAAAAAGTATTAACAATATATGTGACAATATTTTAGCTCACATACTGTTTTACTCGGCTAGCATTTCCATCATTGGTCCGAACCCTGCAACTGTCCACATAATCCATGCACATGAATAAATACAAATCAGCTGCATTAAGTGCACATAATAATGCAATATTTGCATGATATAACATTACCATCTTGTCGTAACTGTCCAGTCCACTTACTGTTTAATAAAAACATGTAGAAAATGCATTAATCACATAGTATATTATTTCATGAGTTTTTGAATTATATTTTTATAAATAACGATGAACAACCAGGCTCTCAAATAGTTTAAATAATTTCATTTGGCTTCTGATATAGGTAAATTTTCTTTAATACTAAGCCAAAATTAACTACTTCTTACCACTTTAGTTTTGACCAACTTCATTGATCTTCTTCAGGTGAATGACCTAACTCAGTTTTAGGTCATTTTATAATCATCTGATGTCATCTAATGACATATAGTGGTTTTCTGAGGTCTTGTCTGAGTGGCCCTTGTTCCCCCGAGTTGGTGTAGAAGGTTGTCATAAATATGGGACAGCTTGTAGGCTCCTTCTGCTCCGTTCATGTTGTTTCTTTTTCTTCTGATCCATATTGCCTCTTTTATTGTGCATTGGAGTCTAGATGATACTTTTTGTAGTATTTAGATGTTTTTTTGGTTCAATAAAAAATGTGTCATCATCAACAACATGAATAGAAATGAAGGAGCCTATGAGCTATCTCACTTTTACGACAACCAACCTGGTGGACAAGTGGCACCCAGAGAAGACCTCAGAAAAACACAGTGCGCATGTCATCGGATTACGTCAGACGATGATGAAATGAACTAAATTAGATTAGGTCATTGATCGGTAGAAGATCAACAAAGTTGGTTGAAACTGTAGTGGTAAGAAGAAGTTAATTTTGGCATACAGTATTACAGATAATTTATCTGAATACTAGTTCAAATAAGAAAATAAGGAATACCTCCAATAGTAATTTTATAAGCTCTTTGTATACATTATAAAATAAAGTAGTAGGACTAGGGACGGCAGACAACACCAAAATTACAGTTACAAACAAAAACATAAAAACAGAAGTGTACAATAAAACAAAAAGACAGTAACTCCGAAAAGAGTCAGAGACATTTTGAAATTCAACGTTTCGATCTACTTGATCATTTTCAAGAATACTAATGAGAAAATCTCACCCATCCATATATGTTTACAATATTTACAGAAGTATAACAGAAAGCAAATAAAAACCAACCAATCGGATTAAAATCAAAGTTATAACTAGCCAATAAAAAACGAGGTAATAATAAATGAGGCGTGTACAAATTGCTCCATAGTTGTTCAGGTTTTGGATATTCTGTCAGGCTGATACATGTGAACATTTTTTACTTTCTTTTGAGTATTCAGAAGATTAAGCCAATGAAAGTGAAATTACTTTATGTGTACAGAGTAAGTAAGTAGGTAATATTTATTGCTTTCTATGAAATCATCACAAAGAAGAGAACCTCAAAATATACTTCATATTGGAATTGTGACACATTTTTTCATACCATGTTAAGTCTTCAAAAATAATGATAATAAAACTTCTCTTAGAATACCTTAATCTTCGAAGGTGCTGTCAATAAGATAAAGGAATGAGGATGCATATGTAGGAATTGGTAGGGTCATGTAGTGCACAGGGATGAATGGTCTATTATTTTTAGGGGTGTTCCACTAACTTGTTACACTGCAACAGTCCACAATACAGACTGCTTCACACTAAATTTGCGACCCACTTTAATTCTAAGCAAATCAGTTTCAATCCCACGCAAATTCATCCAACTTATATTTACACAACCCATTCAGAGACTATGTTATTGGAGCCATGTCTATTAGAATAAATTTCAAATCATTATTTATGATAATATTAGTCGTTGAGTGCACTGAAACCAAAAATAATCTGTTATTAAGAGCTGTTCTTAAGACATTTTAATCCATGACTGAAATTAGCATTCAAATTCAAGTGATCCAATTTATTTTATGATTACTTTTCTTTTCATCTACATGACATCAACAACTAGGTTGAAAAAACATTGTTTGTAAAAGATCTGTAAATAAAACTGGTGAATAACTATTGATAGAAATAGAAAAGAAGATTAAATCGGAATCACCATGGAAACAAAATGGCTGCTTTATAAACACTTTTAGCTTATATTATTTCAAGCGCAAATTTTACAGTAATGTTTTATTTTATTATTACGTTTTAGTCATCAAATACCATCAACAATGGTAAATAAACATCTTTTGTAGGGTTATAAAATAATTCTTGCTTAGTAACTTGAGTTGAAATCAGGATTATCATGACAACCTATTGGTTTTCAAAAAACATGGCTGGTATAATACAGAACATAAAACCTAAGTACCATATTCCAATTAACCTAATAACAACAAGCCAAGTTGAAAAAACAACATTTTTTGATAAAAGATTTGAAAATAAACCGAGCCAATTAATAACTACACTAAAATTGAAGATAAAATATACAAGTACGATTCCTTATTATTCTTCAATTACCTAATTCTATATTTTTAGTATTATACCTTCCATCCTATATCAAGAATTTTTCCCTCATAATTAAGGAAACATTAACCCTAATGATGTCTAAAGACCAAGTTACTTGTACAATGACTAAATACGAAACCTATATTCATCTCAATTAGACGCAAACTACCAAACACAGTGACAGGCCTACTACAAGCCAAAAGCATTCAAGTTTGACTTAGCAGAAGTACTGTAAGCCGAGAACATCATGCATGCTAGGGCACATAACATGGCAGCTGCTAACTTGACCCTGGGTCAAGTTACTCGCTCACAAATCGTAACGCACTTGTTAGTCACAAGAAAACTATGTGGAATTGCAACTTAGCAAAATACACCTTCTGAGATTGATTCACGGCCCACGGCCGTTCAACTTGAAATTACTATCTCAAAGGCTAATGCCTGACAAGCATTAATCCTTGAGGGAGATGAACAACTCCCTTGCACATTATTTTACATTGCATCACTTCACAGTAATCGGCAGAGTAACATTTCTTTAAGTCTACAGTCCCACATGCTTACATTCTAAAATATATTTGCATGGAATGTGATTGACAATTCCCTAAAATCTGAAGCAGACAAATCGAGGCCAGCAACAAGTTACTCTATAAGAGTATGCCAACTGTTTATACAGTAGATGACAGCCAAGTGTCTTCAACATGAAAATGAATTTTGGAACAAGTAACAAATAAGGATTCTATAAAATCAAATGCATGAATCCTTAAAGTTAAAAGGACATAAAGCAGAGATTCTAATAACCCCTATAATCAAGGATGATTTTAGATTAATCCCTATAATAAACAAAATAATAAAATCATCACAAGGCACAGGTGGTCATGACCCTCCGTCTTTGAAATTCCTGGAGTAGCCACTGATATATCATTTTTTTTTTTGTTAAAAACATTTGGAATACAGTGACAAACATGATTAAAATTGAGTACATCTAAAATCAAACAATGGAATTACATCTAAGCAACACAATCATACTAGCATCAACAACTTCTAGATTCAACGTGCCTTATGAGATCACATATATTGTTTAAATATCCTTTTATCATTTAGTTATTTATATTCAATGCAATATACACACACATATTTGGCATTCAGGGAGAAAAAAGCATATTCTATATCCCTAGAGATGGAATGACAGAAACCAAAATGCAATCATCCTACGCGTAACTAAAAAATATTCTCGCATAGTAAACAGAAAGGAAAAGAATCATTACCAATGATACCTTAAGGGAGTTCAACTTTCTAAACTAGTGAATTTGACGGTTGACTCTCAGAAGCATATTAAGTATCTACCAAGAAACCACATCCTTCGAGAACCGCAATAAAATTTAAATGAAACATGTTTTGATATATCCACGGCTCACTGTCTCTCAATCAAACTTATTTGCCTGCAAATGATACACTGGTTTCATGAGAACATTTCCTCTGAGAATCCATGTTTTTTAAAAAAATGAAGATATGCATCCTATGTTACTTACATCCAGTTGCATATTCTATTTTTAAACACCAAAGGATCAATAATGCTCTTATTCAGGATATCATACAATATATCACAAATCTTATCCCCACAAACAACTTGTAGTCTATTTCATATGGAAAATCCTCAAAATTCTTGACTAACCATATACTGTATTTGTACTAATAGACAAAATTTCACCAGAAATGCTGTTGCCTAAGAATGTTTACTCTATTTCATAAAAAAATCCTCAAAATCCTTGCATAAACATATAGTATCTATGTTTAGAGCAAATGAACATTTAGCATGGCGTATAGACAATAGTAATCGTTTGGGGTACAAAACATAAATAGTTCCGAGAACTATTTATATGCTGTACTGCAAATTCATACAGATTTAGCTCTGATGAAGAGCTCTAGAAATACTCAGCTGATTGATTAATAGATATTTTTTAGCTCTACTGCCTCTATTATACTGCCCTCATGAGGCTGACTGATTAATAGTTGATTAATAGATCTTTTTCAGCTCTACTGCCTCTATTATACTGCCCTCATGAGAAGCTCTAGAAACAATCGGCTGGTTGATTATTAGTTAATTGATTAATAGATCTTTTTTAGCTCTACTGTCTCTACTATACTGCCCTCATCGGAGCTTTTGAGATTACGAGAACTTGTTTTATATTTAAGCAATTTATTTGCTATTCGAATTAACAATTAGAATGAGAAATATTTTCCACTACACTACACTGCAAAAAAGGCAGTTGAAAACTAGATAGATTTAAAGTCACCCAACCTGTGATAGGAATTAATGTCAACATGAGAGAATGTTATGTGATCATAGATATCATTAATGTCACCTGATAAGTAACAGAGCTAAAATGTCCTATTAATGCTGAATGTCCTTGAATTAAACACTCTACTTAAAGCAAAACTTACCTTTATATTCATTCAAAAAACTGTCCCTAAGGCATCAAACCAAGCAACTAAACTGCTGTCAATGCAGGCAAGTCTCTTGAATTCTTCAAGATTTATTCTGAGAACAACAATCCAAATAAAAGTTAGAACATTCAGTGAAATAATACAGACAGAGGTGTTATAGTAGTTGATAGGAACTGCAATTTCATCAGATGTATGAACATAATAAAATTTATTTATGTTTTTGTTTCTCATCTTATACCATATTCAAACTACACTCCGTTGCCATCGGTTTGCAATTTAGTTGGTGGTAATCCAAAACTTATTACTTACGATCACAACCAAATCAGAAAAAAAAAATTATATTGGAAAGGGAGGTCGAACGGTACTAGGGCTCCGGTGCCTAGACCTATGTTGACTGACCTTAGCCAACAGTTCCTGTGGAATTATATAGTAATATAGATTGTAGCACCCAATCGCAATGGGTAATAATTGTGATATTAAATACTTATCAACTACAATTGGTGAGCTTTCACAGATGATTGAGAATTACGATTGGGTGTCGCAATTGCTAAAACCGACTGCAATGCAATGCTAGTCTGAGTAGGTTAACAGTGTTTTTTATCAACCAAATCGAGGCTTAGGAGGTAGAGTTGTATCCTGAAGGTACAAGATTTGAACCCTGGACCCTGTGAATGCAAGGTTAGCATCTTAACCTCTGAACTAAAACTCCACTCAAACACACCCTTTCCTGACAGATTTTAAGGCTAACATTTGAAGAAATAAATAATGTATTGTTACCTGCCATTGTGATCCAGCTTAGCTAACTTGAACACATTCTCAACCATCTCTTCTATTGCATCCTGTGACATAGCCTCCATTACAGGCCACATATCTTCCCTACAGAAAACAGTTTCAAGTTTATTAATGATGATGCGAGCATAGGCTGGTGAAAACATTATCTTTTCAACAAAGAACTACCTGTGCATAGTTTTTCTAGTATATCAAACTATACCCTATTAAAAAAAAGTTGTGGATACCGTTATAGAACCAAGTATTTAAATTTCTTACTTTTTATATTTAGGTTAGGTTATTAACAGTCTGGTCACAGGCACTCTGTGGTGAAGTCTAGATCTCCAATATCAAATTTTACCATACCAATTCATAAGGTACTTTTACTTTAAACTTAAAAGTGAGTTTATTTCTTTCAGGACAAAAATAGTTAATTTGTTTTATTTTCCCCTAAAACCTTACCTGGTACCAGGATTACTAGGAAGGGGAATCTTTGAATTGTAGTTGGGGGCGATATCAGAGCTGCTTGGAATCGGTGCACTGAACATAGATGAGACAGGTCGCCCGAGATTGTCATCAAAATTCAACATCTGAGAAATCAGAAATATAGAAGAACAAAAAAAATCAGTAAAATAAATTAACTGTGTCATTGACATTATTGAATAAATTTTTCCAACAGCAGGTTAACCTTCAGTAAAGGTCAATCATCTGACCTCCAATGTAACTTTATGTTTATGGTGATATATATCGGTCCCAAACCATGCACTAAATTTTCATTAGTGCATGGTTTGGTTTACCTATTCATTCATTTCAGATTTAAATTACAGTAGTAAGCCACCTAGCCTCAAATTTAGAGTTTGAGCCAGTGCAGTGCTTCCAATATGTCAATGTTGAGAGCTTTGAAATGAGCATATGAAGCCTATTTATAATCTCAAATTACTGGATAGCCTAGGTGGGATTGGGGGGGGGGGAATAGCTCCATACCACAAATCTTCCCGGCCAGATATGTGATGAACTTAGGCCTAGGCTATAAATAATATTGACATAGACAGGTAGGCTAACAAACTATTTTGCAGTTTTCATTAAATTTGTAAAAAGGAGAGGTAACTTAAACAAGCAGTACAGTAACATCTCCCAATTACAATCAAAAATCCAAATCTAGTATATGGAATAAAGTAAACCAATCGCATACTACTGTTGTTTAGTAGCATTATCTGTTCTTGTGTAATGTGTAATACAATATGTATAAAAAGTATAACAAATGAACTTCAAAACAACATTAAACAATATTTTCCTACCATTTCTTCCTCACAAGCCTTCACCACATCTCTTACTAGTTCAATTGTAATGTAGAAATAAGCTTTGAACATCTTGCGCAGGTTGTCCCGGCTGATGGTACCCATACTATCTAAATCATACCCTTCAAAAACATCTATGGTTAAAAAAAAAATTGTTGGAATTAGTAAAAAAGAACAATAATTTTCATTATTTCTTGCTCTGTCTCTCTTCCTCCATCTCTTACTTTCTCCCTAATTAAATCTTTTGCTGCCTACCTTATTCCATCTCTCACTTCATTACTCTATCCCTTGCTTCACTTTCTACTCCCTTCCTCCATAAATACCTTAATCCCTGCCTGTATCTCTCATTCATTTTCCCCTCTTTTCTCTCCTTATGAGCTTATAATAATTTCTAGTTACAAACTGCTTCACAGCCAATTACAGAATAGGCAGCACGGGATATTTACATTTAAACATGCATTAAGATGACTGCAAGCACCATGACTAATGACAAGGTAAGCACACTTTACTTACATTCAACTTTGTCTTCCATATTTCCTTTCACAAGTATAGACAGTCCGTGGACAAACTCAGAAAAGTTAATATAACCATCACCATCAGCATCATAGAACTGAAATTATAAAGCCCACTTTATATAATACAGTAATTAGTCAGTTTGGGTTAAGGTTTAGTGTGTGCATTCAAAGATCCTATGTTAAAATCAAATACTGGTCCCTCATAAAATGACTGTAAAAAAAACTAATGGATACAACATCATTCTTAACACATTCTATTAATAATAATTGTTAACTTATATAGCGCATATTGTAGAGACCTCTATGTGCTTACATTATTACCCTCGGTTAATGGATCAAGCACAATTATGGAACACACACTCAGGCCCCATGTGGGAATTCCACAATGTTGCAGCTGTAATCAGCACAGGTTGTGTTTGAACCTACCAGGTACCCACTTGTACTCCTGGATGGAGAGAGACAACTGTAGATAAAGTGCCTTGCCCAAAGATACAAACTACTTACACAGCGAGAGTTTTGAACCCCCGACCTCAAGGTCGGGAGTTTAAGCTACAACCGATGCACAACCACTTCAACTATTAATGTTTAACTCCAGTAGAATTACATTTTTTCTAACATGATTAGGATTTACAGTGAAATTATATATCCATTTTATACAAATAAAAATAAACACCTCCCTCCAATAAATGCCTCCAAAAAAAACATTCTCAACAATAAATCTCTGGTGCGTCTATTTTGATAAATTTGGTAGGTAAAAAGCGGGCAGATAACTGGAATGTTATATTCTGGCTGAGTTAGCATAAGAATATGGTGGAGTGGAAAAGCAATGGGCTCTGAGCCAAGATTTGTGAGTTCAAATCCAATTGCTACTTGTATTTTTGGACACCCAGGAACATAAGTGGATACCTGATAAGGTGTGAATGTTACGATCATGCGGATTGTAGTTAATTTGATAGGCTACAGTCCAAGTTTGCAAGTGTTGTTTTTATACTATTGTTGAAATAAAAGATTATGATTGTTGTGTGTGAATAAACATTACCTTGAATAGTCTGTCCATAAGCAAGTTCTTCTCAATACCTAGTGAGCCTAAACACTGGTCATACACCTCACGAGTGATTCCCTGCTCTTTGGTACATATTGCCAAGTACTGGTAGTACAATGCTTCAACCTCAAACTGGTCAACTTTACAATGAAAAATTGACAAAATATAAATTAAATATTTGTATATATAATTCCAATAAAGATATAATGCATACAATTAAACATGAGATTAGCTTGTATAAATACATGAATTTTTAAAAAATTAAATAACAGCAATAATGGTGTATTTATATATTACAAAATTGGTATATAGATGTATGCACCAACTTTATTTATCAGAAAACAGTCTGATAAAGTGCACTGTTAATTATCTTACTGGAAATTCAAAGATCAACCTACAACAGTTCTTTTCAGAACTATCTACGTGGTGTACCACAAACATTAATATATAATTTCAAAGATGTTATTAAAATGGAATTATCTATTACATTAGGAGGATTATTATTAATCAAACCATTGTAGCAGGCATTCTAATTTATTTTTTATGAATCTGCAAGTTAAGTAAACCTGCGACAAATGCCTCAGTGTAATCGAATTGTGGAAAGCTATTTCTTTTTTTCTATTTCAATCTCATTTGCTTTGTATTTGTTTGGATATGGACAATGTCTGAATTAAAAATCAAATAACAACATAAAATGATGAAGGTTGCTTGAAAGCAATAAAAACAATAGGATAATGCTTTTAAATTTGTACTTACAGAAAGTTTCACTCTTTAATTTACTCAATTCATCCCAGGCTAATTTTCGTATATTGTAAACTTTACCTGAAATTGTAAATATTAGAAACAATTTAAAAAATAAAAAACATTACTCTGGGAACCATTCACATGCAATGGCTGATACAACACAATGATACTACAAGTTATGGGTGTTTCTCCTACCATTTACTTCCAAACAAATATCTGATAGTATATACAATATAATTAAGAATAGTGGTCAAGTTCCAAGCAAGGGTACAAGCCTTTGAACTATAATATTAACTTACCTGTGTAGAATGGTTTCATAAGGATGTTCCGAGGATTAGCTAAAGGTGGAATAGGTATCTTGATTTTCATAAATGTGTGGGTTTTGTTGTGGATATCTTGTGGCTCGCATCTATCACAGACATCGTAGTCAACACAGTTTGAACACTGGAAATATAAATAATTTCCCAAAATAATTTTAAAGAGCCAACTAGAATTTCTTAAGACATTTTATAAGCTAAGAACAAATAGAGTACAACTTGACAACATTATATATAGGCCCCTGACTGAAGATATGAATATCGGAGAAGTTTCTTGAAGCAGCGAGTTGCAGCCAACATCCACAAAAGGACGACAGCGACTGCACAGCCAATGTTGACATAATAACAATCGTGATGATCATCATAATGATGATGAACTTGCTTTACTCAAGGATTGTTTAACAATCCAATGACAGAATACAATAATGAAATGCAATGTGATTAGGCCAAATAAAATAAATTGTTTGTTTGCCCTTCTTTTTTTAATATTATAAATAAGGGCAGGTGGAAAAAAAAATTTTTTATTTATTTTTTTTTTTTAAATACTCATCAGATGAATAAAAATAACCCACAGAGGCCTAGAATGGCAATATCTTACATCAAACAACTTTAGACTAATTTTTAAGGCATCTGGCAAAAAATAAAGATAAATTCACTCACATTTTTTTTAATTTGTAAAGAAAAAAGCTAAAAAAAAGTTTTTTTGTTTTTCCGCCCCTATTTTTTCCAGCGAGTTAGGGGCTAGTGGAGGAGGGTAAATAAACAATTTTTTTTTGGCCTTATGAGAGGATGTGAATTTACAACTTTAAAACCTGTATATCTACCTTATATCTGATGCCACAAACAGGACTGCAGTTACATGTATTGCAGGTGATACCACGATGAACAACGCCCTCTATGATAAAAAATATATTATAGGAATGATGTTTTTCCCTACCTGATGTGTTATCATACTTACTGTAATACTAAGTATGTTCGCAAATACTACCAAAAAAATTTGTGCAGGAATTGAACCCACAACCTCCAGATAGCTAGCCTGGTGTCATAACTACTACAGTAGACCACTGAGCTTGCGCTTAGTGACTAGTGTTGAATAAGATCCCAAAGTACTGCAATGCGAAAAAGTAAATATTATTATTGTACTGGACAAATTAGTGTTTACAAACAAATAATTGTTTTATCATCTAATTTTCTAAAAAAATTTATTCCATCATTATGAAGGACCAAAAAAGTATAAAGTAGCACCTCTATGGCAATGAAAACAGTGTTGTTGATGGTCAGAAAATCTTGTTGCTCTTATACTGAATGGCATTATCAGAGGTCCACCAAATTCTAATGTGACATATTTGTGTCTTAACCATATATGGGCATATTATTTATATTACTACCATATATGAGAAAATAATATATTAGTCACATAAAACCTGGCAGTGTGGATACCTTTCCTAGCTTTATCTTCTGCAATATTAAACAAGAGATTCAGTAAACTTTGGTTTTCCTGATGAACATAGCCTCCATTTTGCGGACTGGATACATCTTCCGGCTGAACTTCTCTGGACGGAGTGGCAAGCAACGTGTGCTGCGTACTCATCATGGTGTCTGTAGGCCCAAAGGAGCGTGCTGGAGTAGCAAGAAGTGAGTCACCGACTTGGCTGGCATTCAGGCCTCGAAAGCTGTCATTCAGGGTACTGGTGTTGATGTTTTCCCTAACAACTAAAAGTATTTAAAAACACAAATAAGATATGCTTCATGTTTAGGCGGTTAGTATGAGATATATGGAACCACAATATTTCATACAAAGCGGCTATGCTTACACCGAGATGTAACACATTAAGATAGCGAGATTTATTTTTAAGGTTAGGGTAAAGCCAAGTCGACCAATCAGCACATTGGGATTTCGATCACTTCAATGTAAGCATAGCCATGGCCTATTTTATATCATGATGTATATACTTTTGAATCTGAAAAAGAATTGTATATATAATAGTTGAATTTGCATGCTGTGGTGTGTCTGTGAAATGTTCTGTTAAAATGACCGTGATGTTCCTGTATAAATGTTAATGAGACTCTACATATGAAGTACCTGTCGTTCTGTTAAATTCTATGTCATTTTCTAGCCGTTGACTGCGATGTTTCTTCCAGTGTGATAAAGCCAAAACAATAGAAGCACCAGTAGCCATACCTACTGCTACAGCACCTACATACTTAAGATCCATCCTGTGGGGTGAGGGACATGAAATCAAATGTTTACTAATGTGAAGGAGCACTATAATCCCAAACTTTTTTTTTTCAATTTTAGCTACATTGAATATTATCATTTTAGCCTCTATTATCAAACAAAACCAACTGAACGATTCCATTCAACCCGAATCTGCCTCGTTTAATGGAACAGTTAATCATTCAACTCATGAAAATATTCTTTCTATTGCACTCATAAACATTTATTATTATAAAATAATACTCGACTGTGTCTCATTGAATGGAACAGTTCATCTTTAAACTCATGAAAACATTCTTCCCACTGCACTCATAAACATTCATTATTTGTATCGTTCTGTCAGTCCCATTTAATCAATGTCAGCAAAATAACAGCACAAAGTTCATATACTAGGCCAGGGGTGGGCATTAAAATTGGTCGGAGGGCCAAAGTGAATTTTTTATTCAACTCCGAGGGCCGCACAAAAATTTCGATGTTTCAGTGCACTTCCAAAACCTTCATACACTGTTTTATGGTCACTTTATACTCAGTTTTACTATTACTTCTTACAGGACAATCGCTGCTAGGCGGCAAAAATCAAGGTGTTTGCTAGCCGAAGACCGGGCCGCACACGTAGGGTTTGTAATTCATTTTCGCGGGCCACAAAAAAATTACTGGCAATTTTACTGATTGCAAAATGGCAGCAGTTCGTCGTGATAGTTGATAGTGAGCTAAAAACACTGTATTATTAAATAATAAAGGCATTTATTTTTGTTGAAAAAAACTTACTTTGTGAGTGGTTGAATCACGTAAAATGTTATAGCCAAGGCTACTAGGCTAGGCCTAGGCCGTATTTAGGCCACGGGAATGAAAGTTGTAGGTTTGCGTCCACCGCCTGCATGCCTAAAAAGCTACCGCACAAAAATTTTCATTATTTTGAAAAGTTCATTAATTTGAAAAAAAACATACTTCGTTTTAAAAAACGGACTTTCTAAGTCGTAAACAGACAGAAAAACGATTTATTCATCACTGATCACTCGTCGCAAACACCGAGCGAAGGCAGGCCTGGCCACATCACACCATGATCGCCGATCACTACTGAGATCATTTACGGGTCAAAACAATCTTTCTGACCAATAGGAAATCTTGTATGTTTAAAGAGGTCTTAAATGTAGAAAAGGATCTGTTTAGGCTAGTGTACATTTTATGACTGTAAGCATTGTTTCTTGGGAATAAATGTAAAATTACCAATGCCGCGGCTTGTGGACAACATTTATAAAAAAATAATTAATAATGAAAAATGAAAAAATGCCTCATGTGTTTTCAAAGTTTTTCGGACGCAAACCTACAACTTTCATTCTCGTGCCTTACATTTTGTGACTGCGAGAAGAACATCAAGGTAAAAAAAAATGATAATTAAAATTTAGGTGCGAATGTTCATTAGTCCATACTAGGCCAAGCCAAAGCTATCTCTAGCCTTCCTAGCTTGGAGGCCCTGGCTTAGCTATGCCTAGGCCAGTCTGAGTCTGGGTGGGCTGGACATAGGCTAGGCCTATTCCTATCCTAGCCTAGGCTTACCTAGGTAGGCTACAGTACAGAACTTTACCCTTCTTTAATTATCTAGGCCTAGGTAGAGGCCTATGGTGTGTGTGCACATCCCGAAAACATTCTGCAATCAAAACCTTTCTTGTACATTCAGTATTACAGCAGTACGTTCATTTCCTTTAGTTTTCTCCATGACGATATTGAAATACACCACCGTGAAAAATCAAAATATTCACATGATGGCGCGATTCATTATCCGGCTCTTTCACCAAAAGTAGTTACACAATATAAATAAAAATCTTTAACTATGAATATTTTATTTAATTTAAAACACTTTATAATATTTTAAAAGAAATCAAGTACCATAGATTTATAATCAAATTATATTTATGTCTTTTGATTATAAATATAACAAAAGTACACACAACACGTACCGACTTATAAAAAGTTAGGTCACTGTCACCAACATGGCGGGTGCAGTGAAGCAGGTAAGTCATGTTGTTATTTAATTTTACCAGGATTGCTTAATCTTTCTGTTAATTGTTTTTTTCAGAATTAAGCAACATTATGCTACATTATGACGTAAGCTGCTGTTTAATGCATGACTTTGAATGGTGATCATTTGGATCAATATTTACCTCGCTCTTCTAGGCCTAGACTTCTTCTTTTAGCTACTAGGTTGGTAGGCGGGCGCGCGCTGCCAGCCACCTGAAACTCGTACCCAAAATTCAGGATAAGTCGTACCCAACTTAGCGAACTCGTACCTGCAAAAATGTTATTGAATATTAATAGTGTGCTTTAAATATCATCGTTATATTGTGCATCTAGGGCCTACAAAGTAATGTATTCTAGGTTTTTAGTGTTGTTACCTAACAAATTATATTTGGTTTTAGCTTTTTGGCATGGCCTACTAGGCACTAGGCCTACCTGTTTTGTCTTTTAGTATAGTTATTATTAGTATTTTAGTGTAGCTTCTATATTTGACATACAATTTTTATATTTCCAACATTATTGACAAACAAATGAATATTGAAAAAGGAAAGTGCTGAAACTGAGGAAAAATGTATACCAAATTTTTCATTGAAAACACAATATTATTATTATAATTAAAATAACCAGGTTTAGTAATATCTTGAGTGGCTTGCCTGGTTAAGGGGGCTGTAATAATGATGTCAAAGAAACCTATTTTGCCTATTTTGTTGCTAAGTTTTAGAGTTAAGTTAATTTATAACAGTATAATTGTTTTCATTATTGGGCTTCACTAAGTGCATTCTGCCGATTAAGATGTCTATACCTTTGGCCATTATGTATGCATGATGTAAACCACAAAGTTTATTTAAGAAATTTGAAATGTATTATTGTTATCTTTTATTTATACAGACAACTGGTCTTGTTGGCCTTGCTGTTCGTGCAAAGCCTCATGACGTAAGTTATTATTTAGTTACTTTTATTAATTGCTTTTTAAATTTGTTTTCAATTACACCATAACAGGGAGGTTAAAGTGCTTGCCTGTGAATCTTGGTTATGTCCTGTAAAAAGCTTTTTTTTTCTCTCACAGCTACAAACAACTCCCATTCCTAAGGCTTATATTAAGTTTAAAGAGTATCATATTATTTGATGTATTTAAAAGGGCCCCTGGATATCAGCTGACCATCTATGCTTACCTGGAAAAGTTACCCTTTATCAAATATGATTCATCTAAACTCTATTTCAGTAAATTCTTTTTGAATCTGTATGGACTTTACTGAAGAAAGAACAATAGAAATAAAAGGAATAAAATTGAAAAACAAAAATAAAATTCATTAACCAAGACCATACAAGTGTCCTATTGAAATGTACATTATGTTATAATGAGATTGCATTTTATATATTTTTTAAATTTTACTAGACACTTAAGGGCATTTACAAGAAAGTACTAGGTGTTTTGGGTAATATGCCAGAAGATGCTGCTTACAGGCAGTACACAGAAGAAATGATCAAGGAACGCTTAGAACATGTCAAAACGGTTAGTATCTTGTGTGTTGAATAAACATATATTTATAGTTAAAATTATCACCATAATTATTGTTAACTGTGCTGTTGTTATTTTTGTTAATATTATCTTTACTATTTATTGGTAATATTATTGTTATTATCATCAACTTCATTGTTAATGTTGCTATCATCATCATCACTGTTACTATAATAACCATAAATTTTTAATGTACTTTAGTGACTGCATAAATTTTGTGGTTATACCTCCAGGAGCCAGATGTCAGTAAACTAGAAAGTAAGATAGACTGTGGTCAAATAGAAGAGGTTGTTTTGCAGGTATGTTAAAAGTATATTATTATTCAGAGAATATTTGATTAAACAATAAAGTATAAATCGTAAAGCCACGATGGATAGTGTTCAAGACAATTCAATTACCATTCTGAGCAGCAAACAACATTAAGAAGTAAATTATGAAATCAGTTTGTAGCATTTTTTGACGTACTATTGTACGGAGTGAACAGCTTTACTACACCTGATAACAGTCCATTGATTGGGGCGAAAACTTATATAAAATGATATCATTTGTTGTAAAAAAAAGTGCTGCAAACTGATTCTTTATTCACTGTTAACTGACTAATACAGCTACACAACTACCTTGGAAAATTAACAAGGTTATTTAAAGATATACTGTCCGCCATAAATTAAGAAAAACCCATGAAAAATATCAATTAAACATTGCATAACTCAATTCAAAAGACCAATTATGTTATCAAATCTAAATGATAGACACAGTTCAAAACTAATCAGTTAAATTGATGCTTTATGCAACAAGGTTTATATGTATTGGTACATAAATTTACCAAAATAATAATATATCACACTTTATTGGATTTTGCTTATCTTAAAGCCAGGCTCCGGAGAAATACTTATTTTTATATGTTGTACAACTAATTTTTTTAAGACATAAAGAGCATATTTGACAAGAACTCGAAAGTGGTTGATGAGAAAAAAATTTTAATTTTTAAAAACTGGGGGGAAAAGGGCGTTAACAACTCTTTCTTCCACTTTCCCCCCCTGTTTATAAATATTGAAAAATCTGTTTCTCATTAACCACTTCTGAGTGTTTCGTCAAATATGCTTTTTGTGTCTTAGAAAAATCAGTTCTACAATATATCAAATTTTTATTCCTCTGGAGCCTGGTTTTAATATCACTATAGAAATGGGTGTTTTTTTCTGCACTTAAGAAGATTAAAGAATACATGTATTATTTTTCTGATGGATACTGGTGCATTTTTTTATATGCACAATTTATTACATTTTCTCCATCACACTTTAGTAACATTTTTATTTGTAATCAATTTTTCAGGCCCAAGCTGAATTATCATTAGCACGTAAAATGTTGGAATGGAAAGCCTGGGAACCTCTGATCGAAGATGCTCCTGAAGGACAATGGAAGTGGCCATGATCACCCCTATACTCAAATGGAATAGTCAATTTTTTGCCCATGTTCAGTTACTATGGACACATTATTGCCAATGTTATTTTTTTGGTAGAATTTAAAAAACAACAAACACTAGATCGTTTTTCTTCTGTGTTCTAACATGAAATAAGAAGTATTATATAAATATGATTGGTAAGTTTATGATGTGCAGCTACTGTGTGTTATGAAAGAATAAACATTTAAGAAATTATCAAAAACAAAGAGTTTCATGTTGCAAATAATTGTTCCAAATAATTTAGACATCTTGTACAACAGGATTGAACAGGCAGTGGCCATAATTTCTCCAGTCTTTACTGTGATTGGATGTTATTGTAATGAATGTATGGATTGTATTAGAACAATAATATAAAATCAAGAATTAAGAATTCATTTAATACTGGTGTAACTATAGTCACTACCTAAAAAATAATAAGCAAGCTAACGTAATGAGTAAAGGAGTATTTAAAATCCTTATGAAGCTCTGCCAGATAATGTAATGAATATATACAATATTACAGATGATAAATGCTTGGGAAGCCCTTTGACCTAATGAGGTCAAAGGGCAGAAACAGCAGAATGATAAACATAATTTATCTTGTAACATGCTTGGACAAGTAAAATCTAATTGAGAATGGAGTAATCACACGAAGGAAGATATAATGCTGTTCAATTAATTACTTCATTATTTATTCATATGATAAGGTAATTAGTTTAAACCAAACTCAATCAATTAATTTGTACTAATACATATTCGTTAGCCTAATTAAAATCATTTATTATTGATTTTATATTGACATTTGTATACAGAGACAACACTGGGTGAATCTTTGCATACACACGTAAATTTAAACTGTCGAAGTGTGTTTTCTGACAAGCACCAATTTTTATTTATTTATTTTTTTATTTATTTTAATTTTTTACAATTTAGAACATCTTTAGGCAGGATAACATATACAGGTGAGATCTTACCGCTGTTTTACAATATTATGGTCCTGCAAAAACACTGTACAATAACAACAACAAAAAGGTAACCAGTACAATAAATAAACAATAGTAAGAACTTTGGTGGAAAACCATCCCCTGCCAGACACCAACCCGGTACTTCTGAGTCAAGTTTCGGGGCCAGGAATTACTGCTCAAGATTAGGCTTAAACTACATAACTACAATACAGTTATGGTAAAAACTATCCCCGCCGGACGCCAACCCGGTAAGGTTTCGGGGCCGGGATTGCTGTACAGTTACTTAAATAGATAAAATGGTATGGTAGTACTGTAACTATCCCCGCCGGTATTTCACAGATGGAGGGTATAGACAATCTCAGCCCCACTTTGGAGGGAACTGAGGTAAGAAAACTTAAGATTTATATGGCACTCTTTATATGACTAAAATTTTAACATAATTTTCTTTTTTTTTTTCTCAATTAAAATAATAATTTAGACAAAGGGTGATTCTGGCCTGCCACTGGGTGAGAAGGTAAAATTATGCATGCTCTAAAACAAACATCAAGAAACTATTATACAAACATACAATCACTATATTATATTATACCGAACACTTGAGAGAAAAAAAGTGCAATTCATTAGTAAAACAAATATAGATTACAATAATGCCCTTCAAAAGAGCAGGGCCGGGACCTGACATGGGAGGTCAACAAACAGGAAAATGAAAACAAATTTAATAAAGTTGGGCTAACCACTGAGATTATAACAGATTAGGAAGTCCATCAATCATAGTACAGTACTAAATCTCTTGATTCTAAACTTGGGATAGCCACACAAACAGTTGCACCTCCCGAGTACTTGCATGTGTGCGATAAGCAGGTATTAGTATCTCCCTGAAACAGATCGAATTTTAGTCAATTAATAGCAATTGAAAGTACCGTATGAGTCCTTCTCTTCATAGGCGATAGAGGCTATTGTTATAGTATTTATATATATAGTGTTATATGTATTTTTCTTCACAAGAAGAATTAACCCTCAAGTTATTCCCGCAACTCGATAAAAATACTGCTCTATATAATAAAACAATCATTTACAAGGAAACCACATTTCGTCGGGGGTAAATATACATTTTCTATATAGGCCTATTGGTAGACGCTAAAATCGATTAAATAAGCTTTTGAAAACCCCTTAATTGTAAAACTTTTCGGGGCTTCGCCCCCCACCCCCGGACTACTCTCGGAATGTTTTGAGCGGCGCCCAACCACGCCCACTTTTCTCTCGTCGGGGACATCCAAACCCCCCCCCCACCTCCCGAACGAATCCTGGCGCCACCCCTGATTAAGATTCATTACACATTTTGGCATTCTAAAACAATGTTTACAAGTGACTACATGCGATAAAGTCAGGTTTGTTTTCATACTGGCAAAGTCATGGAGGAATAAGTGGTGAAATTCAGGCTGAAGGAAAGCAAACGTACCGTAGATAAAGCGCGCCTAATAAAACAATTAGACAATTAGTAACCACTGCGTCTTGAGCTCTAACTCGTGGCCCTGCAACTGACAGCCCGAAACTTACCGGTACACACACCCATCCTCTTGTTCGACTGCTGCTGATTTTTTAATTGGTTATCTGCCATCTATTTTTTAAAACTTTCACATCCAACTGCAGGTACACTCAGTGGTGGCGCCAGGGGGGGTGGCATTGGCTAACCCGTCCGACAGGCCTGGTCCCCCTGTCGTCCGAAGAATGACTAGGTCGTCGGACCAAAGTTTAAAAAAAATAATAATAATTTGTATATTCAAATAACGTTATTTTGGCCTAATATTGTGGTATAAAAGCACATTTAGGACCAAATTAAGCCATATAAACTGTCCCCATGAACCTTAACAAGGATTTTTTGTTTATTCCGGGCCGTCGACCGAGGCTTCGTCGTCGCCTTGGTTCGGACCCCTCCGTCGGACACGTCGGACTCATTGTCGACAAATTCATGGCGCCACCGCTGGACACTCACCAATCATAGGATGGACTAGCTTAATGCGTCTGAATTAGTCCTTTAAAATAACACGGTAACAGTACCGGTATCCGATATAATTGTGGTTGTTGAGTAGAGGAGAGGGTGAGAACAAATTCCTGTTTTTTTCAGATAAATCAAATATGCTTTATTTATCATATATAATGTAAAATAAAATAAAATACATAAAAATTGTTTTCATTGGCAGTAGTCGCATTTCCACTCGGGGCATTCTATCCGCAAAAATACAATAATCTGTATAATAGGGGAAAACAATGTGTAAATCTGGTATATCTACAATTTAATAAAATAAGATACCTGTACAAATTAATGGTTAAAATGGCGGAGTGTATAAAAAGAATTTTAATTTATGACCTTGGGTTTTCTTTAGCACTTAAAACCGCTAAGCTACTTCCTCGCTCCATCACTAAATTTACAACAAAATAAATCGTTTTTGACAGTTTTATTTACTTTCTTTTTAATAATTAAGTTATTTCCTAGGAAATCCCTCTAAACATTTTGAATTGAAAATTGTGAAGATAGAAACCCCCTAAAGGACACTCTAGATAATGGCTTGTTGACTTGCTACTGTACCGCAGAATAACGAGCCTTTTTAGTCGAAGGATAACACAAATTGAAGAGTAGACACCACGAGGCAACACTATTACTAGTGACGCATCTAGAAAACTTGAAATGGGGGAGGAGGCTCAAGGGTTAGGTGAGAGGCACTAGCTCGCAGAAAGA